TCAGTTGCTCCTGAGGACAGTTAGGTACTCAGGAGAAAAGGTGGGAGGGAGCTATTTCCGTTATTTCACTTTGCTACTTCAGGAATCACTGCATGTTAATGTAACACTTATGCAAAAAACAACAGATTAAACTTGCGTTTGCAGCAGCCCCACAGCAGTGAGGTTTTCCTTCCGACCCAGGGCCTGGCTTAGTGCTTCCACAAGACACGCGCAGTGTGTAAATTCCAACAGCCCCCACCACCCGGAGCGCTACTCCAATAAGACTCGGGATGATTAGAAATCATTTGTGCAGAGATATGTCAAATCCTTTTCTTGGGGCCGGGGATATAGCTCAGCAGCATAAGCGCCTGCCTGGCAAGTGCAAGGTCCTGAGTTTGATTCCTAGTACCAAAGGAAAAAAAAAAATCCTTTTCTAAAAATCTCTCTAAGTATACAAACAGGCTTTTCACCTTTTCGAAGAAAAATTTGTTCCTAAATTTTTCTAACAAGTAAGGCAGTAGTAATCCCCCAATCCTCATTTTCTCATTGAAACGCTCAGGGCAAGGCAGGATCCTATCAGAAACATAAAGCATAAGAAATATTACTGAAAGTGAATGGGTCTTAATAAAGTGAGATCATGTAAGGAGCTGTTTCTTGAAAATTCTTATTCATTGCCACCCCTTATAAACCCACATCAGAAGGCAAATGCCCAGAGATGGGAAAAGACCTGAAATGCCGCAGAGCGCTGACTGAACACTGCCGAGAAAGACTTCCAGGGGAAGTTTCAGGGGTTCTGTTAGATGTTATCTATGGTCCCGATTTTCTGTTTCACAAAACTCTCCCCCAGCACAAGCACGAGAGACCCCCTGGATGTCAGCGGTGAAGCAAACAGGAGCCCTTTTACTGGCGTTTTAATTAGACACCTGAGATGCCCACAGAGTCTGATGCCCCAGGTTCTAGCAGTAAGCTAAATAGGTACACCACACCACCCAGCTGTCAACACCCCTCTTCCCAATATGTCACATTTACTTCCAACAGCAGGCAGGCATGGTGGAGCACGCCTGTAGTCCCAGCTCTCAGGAGGCTGAGGCAGGAGGATTGCTGTGAGTTCGAGGCCAGCCTGAACTGTATAGTGAGACCCTGTCTCACTTGATCTTAGCCAAAAGGCCGAGAAGCGATAGTGAGACCCTGTCTCGAAAGAAAGAAAGAAAGAAAGAAAGAAAGAAAGAAAGAAAGAAAGAAAGAAAGAAAAGAAAAGAAAAGAAAAGAAACTTCAGTCAATTCTTATATGTCAGCAGTACTACCACATCTAAGTACTTCACCAATATTTGACAACCACATCTCAAACAAAACCCGCGCTCTAACCTGAGCTTACATAAACGGGTCACTCAAAGGATGCTTAAACTCCTATTACTACCTGCGATTAAGCACTAAAGGAAGCATCTGTAATCCCAGCACCGGGAGGCTGAGACAGGAGGATCCCTGTAAGCTCGAGGCCAGCCTGGGCTACAGAGTGAGTTTAAGGCCAGCCTGAACTGCATAGTGAGACCTTGTCTCCAAACAAACAAAAACAAACAAATGAAGA